GCGCGCTGTTGTCGGCGCGCTGTTGTGGGTGCACTTTTGACATCGCGGTTTTAGCGCCGCGGTGTTGTCGGCGCGCCTTTGACGTTCGCGGTTATGTCGTGCCACGGAGTTGAGCTGGCATGACCAAGTCAGAAAATTATTGAGATTATCTACCCATGCTGATTTTTCAGATACTCTGATAAGATACTTAGATTATTATTTTATTTTATTTTTTGTTGCCCAATAAATGTGATTGGATAGTGGAGTAAACATTACCCATTATCTCTGAGGGAAAAGTAAGCAAACATTCAAAATCTAATGCCTTCAGTGATACAATATTCTTTGTAACCAGTATGCAAATCTTTTAACTATTTTCTGTGATGGCAAATTAGATATAAATATCAAATAATATTCAGCTATTTGTAATAATCACCTTAATTTTCAATCACAACTTGGAAAAAATACTGCCTCACTCAAAATGTATTAGTTAAACTATATCTAAATTCTTCTCGGCTTGTATATCAAATATTTTTCTTCCTTCCTTCCTTATTAGAAGTTAATAAATAGACTTTTAAAAAATATGCTTCCTTCTAAAAACCTTTTAAAATGTGTGCCAGAGCCTTTTTCTCTTTTCAGTTCCATGGGCTATGAACTCTGATAGTTGTTGGGCTATGGCTGCGCATGGGCTGCATACACTCTGAGAGATACAGAGATTGCATTTGCATAAAGACACAGATCTTCCTCTTTGATTCAAAGAGCGTGCTGGGGAATGAACAGTAAAGCCTGGCCTCTCACAATCACTGGAAAGAAATTCCTGGAAAGATGTGATTTAACTTGATCGCTCTGAGAGAAGGTATTAACCTTGACTCATTCTCAGCGTTTTGGCCAGGTTAAATCAGAGATAACAGTTCTGCTTTCCATTTTATACCAGATGACTGATCAGCTGAATGGAGAAAAAATGGGTCTTTGGCAACACTAACGGCTGGATGAAACCCATAGGCCCTTGTTTTCCAGATGGGGTTGTTGTTATTGTTGTTGTTTATTTATATCTAGAACATTAAGTATTTTTAATATTTTCACATTGTTGTTTTTTCCTGATTTTTTTCACAAGGCATCTTTGAGAAAAGCAAGTTGGGAATTCCTCCTTCCCAAGAAAATTTTAAAAGCCACTTATTCTTAAAATCTTTGCTGCTAATATAGTTTGACATTTCAAGTACATAATAATTATGCATTTGATATTTTCCCCTCAATTGCCTTCAAGTCAGTCTTGAGTCCTAGTCACTGACGTGGACAGGTGCGTGCAGTTTTCTTGGCAATATTTTCAAAAGTGGTTTGTCCTTGCCTGGGCTGAGAAAGTGACTGGTCCAAAATCAGGATATTGGTAGCACTATTTTGAACAAATAAAAGGCATCAACTTTCGTGAGTTCATGAAAGGACTCCAGGGTCGTTGCCACCATAGAGTAGCCCAGCTCTTCTCCTCAAATAACCCAAAGTGACTTAGTGGGCTTTCATGCTTAAGGAAAGGCTAGAAGTCCTGTTTCCACTTTCCTAGCCTTGTGATCTTATTCATCAGATCAACCTGGCTCCTAATATAATTAATTATCAGTAAAAATTACACCCAGAGGATTGTGGAGTTGTGCTTCTGGAACCAGTGCTCTTGCTCCATTCCCAGCTATATACCTTTTTTACTTCCTCATTAGAGCGTAGAGAGATTTCACTCCGCAATTTCTGCCTATATTCCCTGCCTGCCTTGTTCACTTAAGAGTCGGTCGTTTAACATTTGAAACAGAGCAGAAGAAACACTTATCATCCATCTCATGTTCATTTTTTCCTCCGACCCATTTCCCTTCAGAACCCTCCCCAAGCTTTATTGCATGCTTCCT